GTCTAAAACCAAGAAATATTCAATTTTAAGATGATCCAAAACAGAGAAAAGCTTTTAATCCTTACATTTGAGAAGCTGGAATCAGAGAATGTAATTTTTCGCCAAATGAAGGGCAAACTTGGTCCACCGCTTTGGTTGCTAACTATTAGAAAGTTTTAGGTGAAAATTGAATTGAAAATGGATTCTAATAACTTCGACGATCCTTTAAAGGTCCAGTGTGTAACACTTCACCGCTAGATGCCACTAAATCCTCCGCACTGGTCCTTTAAAATGTAATCTAGCACAATAATCAGGTCAAAATTACACAAATGACATTCCCAACCTGAGCTGTGCTAATTAGCAAATGTTAAAATGATAAAATGCTAAACTAAGATAGTGAACATAATAAACATTTTACCAACTTAACAGCAGCATTTTAGTGTTATCATTGTGTGCATGTTAGCATGCTAACATTAGCATTTAGCACAAAGCACCAACGTGCCAAAGTACAACCTCACATAGCAGCTAACATGGATGTAGACTCTCAAAATTTAAATAGACTGTCCAAAATATACAACATACTATTTTCTGTACAGTATGTGCTACATACTGATCATCATAGTATAGGACAGATTAAGAATTTAGTTTATAAAATAACCTGCTAGTTAAACTTCACAAATAGAAAGCAGAAAAATAAGTAATCAATCTTTCCTAAGACTCCGAAGCTGTTTCACCAACATATACAATTTATTTATTATTATTATTATTTATAAGTATACAGTACATTTTTTAGATTTAAGATTTTATATTTTTCCAGCTGTGAGCAGCTCCTCCACCTCCTCTTCCCTTTGTGAATTGCATTGTGGGAGAAAAATGTCCATCAACAGCACAGTCTAAAATCCTGCATAGAATTAGTATGTAGTACAGACTTAGGACACACAGTTAGTCTTGTTGCTCGATGGATTATAAAAACTGGTCAATTAACTAATCAATTAAGTTAATACTTTATGTGTTATGTTATATATGTGTATATGTGTGTGTGTGTGTGTGTCTGTGTGTGTATACAGTATATATATGTATATATAATGCAAAGTTAAATTATAATATTGCTTTGTATTTTTTGTTTTTTCTTTACAGTTGAAATGTGCTGCAACACCAAACTCACGGTCACTGCGGCATCAAAAAAATACTTCTCACTGTCTCAGTCCTCGCTGAAAGCAAAATAGAAAAGAGCTGTTGGAATGAAGCCACAGTGGCCCTGAGGTGCAGGTGGGGTTGAAAGGTGTCAAAAAAAAAAAGAAGAGGGCTGAACATATGGTGTTTTCTGCACATGCATGCCAGTATCACACATCCTCACTCCAAATTGTCTGCACGCACGCGCAGACACTTATGCACTCAAGAAGTGCAAGATTTATCAGATACGTAGTGCCCGGGCGGGTACATCACGTTCTTAGCGTGTGAACTTTAATTTTGGCGCTCTGTATGGCTCACAACTGTACTCTACTTGTTCCCACCCTATTTACATAATATGATAAGACACTTTGAGACCAGTTCAGCTGCAGAAGGTGACGAGAGCAGCTTGTTCAGGACACACTTAGCTAATGCCCTGCATAACTTTTTCTGCCTTGGTGGATGAAGGGCAGATGGATTTACCATATGGCCGACAGGAGTCCTGCCGACTCTCTATCTCAACACACCCCCCATCCCGCCATGTTTTGTTTTTTTCATCACTTTCAACTAGATTATAACAGCCGGAATTAGTGGTGCATCAAAGGGGCACAAACCCTCTGCATTTAATAACAATACCAACTGATAAAGAGTGATATGTAGCTGTTCCAGGCTATAACAAGACCATGACTGAGCATACAACCTTTTAAAAAGAGAGAGCCCTCTCTCTCCTCTATTTTCTGAGTGTGCTGATACACAGGATACATGCCGAGCACTTAGGTTCTTGCAGCAGACATCTGTGTGTCTGCGTGACGACTTGCAGACCAAGCACACTGTCAAAGAGACAAAGATACATAGACTGAGCGTGATATAGAGAAAGAGATACACCGTGTGGAGCCCAGAGATTCAGAGGGGGCGAGACAGTCAGTGTGGACCATCGCCCGCAGGGAGCAGACATCCAGAGCTCAGTGCTGACAAACTGACAGCCACCGTCGGGCTTGAGGGCAGCGCTGTCCCCAGCATTGTTATGCAGACAGGATTCCCCCACCTGACAAGCCAAAACCAACAGTGCCAATGGAGCTACATACCAAATATTTTCCAAGAAAAATGTCAGTATGTATGCTACAGTATGGAAAACCATGTTTTATATAATTTATAGTCTCTAGATCTTTGAGCAAAGATCAGGTATTTTACAAATAAATAGTAAAACTACAATAGTTCACACAGCACAGTGGTGAAACAGGTATTGAGATGCTTTAGCTTACTTGAGCACAAGTTAAGTTAGTCCTGCATTCAGAATGTTACTAAAGTAAAATAATATAGTGTTATCAGCAAAAATTTACTTATTTATCAAATGTAAAAGTGTATAACAATTTTGTTGGAAAGTTTAATCTATAATAAATATCTGATAAGATGTTTTGTATGTTAAATCTGCAAAGAAACTAAAGCTGTCAATTACGAAGAATAAAGTAAAACATAAAATGGGACCACAATATTGTAAAATACTTGATAAAATACTGATAAAATGTACTCACTATAGTTGCACACTGCCAATGTGAATACTCAATGATTTAGAAAATTTGTTCCATCTTTTCTATTGTTCTTTTTACATAATACATTGTTGAGTAAGATGAAAACAGAAAAAAGATATAGGGTAGCATTAGGTAGCATTTCACATTCTTCTTCTATTAGGTGCCATTCATTTGAAATGTTGCACATAAACTTATGTTACCTGAAATAATACAAATCAGTTTATAACGTTATGATGAATGTCATTCTTCTCGCTTTGTATTTGTGCAACCGAAACATGTCTTGCTGTAGTTTTAACATTTGATACGAAGCAGTGTTTGTGTTTGGTATGACACACATATAAAAACTGAACTGGGGGAGAATCTCTTCCAGTTTTTATGTGCATTTTACGTCACTGTGTCTGTGTGAAAGACCAAAAAAGGCTACTGAGATACTGTTTCTCTGAAGACGAGTGCTGCAGCAATATTCCGAGTTAAGATCTCTCTCTCTCTCTCTCTCTCTCTCTCTCTCTCTCTCTCTCTCTCTCATCGCTTAAATAATTCAGTCTCTCCAGAAACATTGCAAAGGAATGACAGAGACGAAGAAGAAGCCAGAAAAGGAGAACGTAAAGAAGAAGTAGAAGAAATGAGAGAGCCGAGACAAAAGTGAAACAAACCTAGTGGTTGTTTGTCATTCTTTCTCTGTCCTCTATCAATATTTCACATTCAGAAAATTGCTTTCATTAACTCCAAATTTCCTCTCCTCTTTCAATATTGTATAACTGTGATATAGCAACTGCCATTATAAACTGATTACCCCGTCTTGTTTTACAGTTTCCCTGCAGCAGATACAATGACATGCAATCAAATTACATTTAAATCACCAACAGTGTTTTTCTCTTTTGCTCCACACCACTCTCCTCTGTGTACCTGCCTCCTTCTCGTCACCCTTTCCTCAGCTGACATTCCTCTTCTCAAGCCTACCCTGATGTCCATCCTCTTCCTTCCTCTCCTGCGCACTGTTTCAACACCATTGGCATTAAAGCTGTCATATGGGGGATGAATCTTAAGTAGTTCTGTGTGCCAGGCCGCTACTACCAACACCCATGAGTGCACATACACAGTTCCACAGAACACGCACACACATGGACACAAACACAGACACAAATCCCTGACCTCTCTTATCTTGTCTCCTTTCGTCCCTGTCTGATTAACACCAGAGACACACTTCGTATGGACGTTTTAATTAGAGCAGAAAGGACACACACACACAGTATCACCAGCTTGTTCTTTCACTCTCATGCTCAAGGCGCCTTTAGACAATCTCAGATCTGTCCTTTCGTTCCAACCATAATGCCTTTAATTGTTATTATCTAATTGGCTGTAGGCTTTTCTGCTGTCTGCAGGCTTTGTAATCCAGCAAATCTCTCTGACCTGAGACCTGTGTGCCACACTCTGGGTTCATTACAACGACTGGTGTGTGATCCGTAACTGATTCTGGTTTTGTCTTCACCTCCTCTCAGGACAATAACTGACCCCTATATGAATCCAGAATACCAGGAAAACTACTCTCACTTGTCATCTGCTGCACACACAGTCCTGTAGCATAGTGATTTACAGGCAGAGTTACGTGTACCCCAGAGGGTACTTCTGTTGCTGCCAGGAGTGCACTGAAATATTGTGGACTAGCTCAGCTAATTTGAAAAATCAGCAATCCTAATTTGTGTTAAGAAGGAAAACAAATACACAGAGATTACAAATTAACATCAAGAGGGATTTGGCAAATTGGCACAGTACCAGAAGTTAAAGTACACATGATGCAGAATGGCCCATTTAAGAATTATGTATATTATGTTATTGGATTGCAATTATTGTTTCATGAATGTCAATCAACACTGGAAGGCAGTCGTAGTATTGCACTCTGTATAAACACCCTGCTTACATTCTTTAACAATTATTTCCATTTTCAATTATCTTTTATCTGCTGATTATTTTCTTGATTACTCAATTAATTGTTTTGTCTTTCAGTGTCAGAAATAGTGAAATATGCCTGTTATAATCTCAAGGTTAATTTTCTGTTCATCAACTAATCAATCGGTTGACTAATTGTAGGGTTTAATATCCTTTTGGAAGATGTCAGGTGATGATGATGAGGAGTGTGGGGGTATATGAAACCAAAAAGTTTGTGAACCGCTGCTATAACAAGTTCTCTGACCACAGAAAACTCAACAGGGCTGAGAGGCAGCTGGACGTGAAAAGAAGGAAGAAGAGATAACTAATAAACCCTCCATGAGATGAGCCATCACTAGCTCCTACAGCACATACATTTTCATGTAGAGTACTTACATCGCTGCTGCCTTGTCCTCCAGGTTCAATCATGTAGGTGTGATTGCCATCGAAAAACATCCCACTGAAAAAGAGAAGGGGGAGAGAGGAGAGCACACATCAGCACCAGTTTCTGTTGCTTTATTCAACACTAAATGGAATAATGCATCTGAATTCAACTCCTCCTCAGCTATCAGTGTGATATCTTAGCCATTTCAGTGCTTGCCCAAAAAGGGTTTATTGTATTATTGGAGCATTTGTCTGAATAATAACTGTAATGCACTCCTACAAGGTGCAGTTTTTGACAGAATCCTCCGCTGCCCTGACTGCTGTATTTGGCATATATGTAGCTTAGGAAAGGGTTGGAGGATGATGTGAAACAAAAGGTCATCCAATCATTTGAGAGATTTCCCCCCACGCAGCATAACTTAAAGGTCACTCACTGTAAGTATTTTATCTCTGGAACAATGACTAAGAGTTTGCACTGGTTGACCACAAGCGGAAATGACAAAGACGTCTTTGAAAGGGGAACGTTTTAGTAGAAAATTGCTGCATATCATTACGGTCCTCTCTAACATGTAATGAAAGACATAATGACTTGAAGTGCACTTTCACTCACTGTGCTCTTAAAAACTCTAAATACATTTATCGCATAAAGGAACAAGAGAAAAGAGGCAACCACACATCCGCGTTATTTTGACCAAGCAATCATTTTAAAAAGTCAGGGATCAATTTCTCATTCAGCAGCTGGGTGAAGGTCTACTTGTCTCCTCCCGCCTGCGCTCAAACCGGACATCATCCGTTAATTAACCTTATCTGAAGCTTTTAGGAGATTGGTCGGGTCAAACTGTAAAGTCAGTCTTTCACTTCCAGCTGTCCCTTTCTGGCTTTCAACACACAGAATTCACCTTCAAAACACTCTTCATCCTGGTCCAACATTGCACTTACAAGAGATTATACACAGAAAAAGCCAAAGAAAAAACAGCCAAGCATATGTTGGTGTATGTTGGTGTATGTTGGTGTATGTTGGTGTGTATTTCTTGCCTTTTCGTGCTGTTTGTGTTCTATTTGGTCACTTTCATTGTCCCTGTGCTGTTTTGTTATCAACATACGTGGTGGTCACGTTACTGTTGGTTGATTTTTTTGTTGTTGCCATTTTCACTTTGAAGTTGACATTGCTAGTGTTTTGGGATTGTCCACGGTTTGTTTCAATAAAGCCTTTCTGCTGCCCCCAAGTGGCAAAAAAATCAGCTATTAAAGGTTTAGGATTTAGAAACAAAGTCTAATTTTGCACTAGTACATCCAAAGTGTCCCAGAGGAAGATTATTGTTATTCTAAATTAAAAGCTAAGTATTTAAACTTTCTGTGAAATGAGAAGTGTTCAGGCTGATCATTTCTTAATCCGTTTGTAAATTTGCTAAAACAGGAGCCTGAGTCAATGCTTAACCATCTACAGCTCATTTGATGGATGAAGCAGAGAGCACTATCCCTCTGTATACAGTTAATACCCTATTGCATTGTAAGGTAAAGTATATGTGTGTGTGTGTGTGTGTGTGTGTGTGTGTGTGTGTGTGTGTGTGGGGGTGTGTGTGTGTGTGTGGGGGTGTGTGTGTGTGTGTGTGTGTGTGTGTGTGTGTGTGTGTGTGTGTGTGTGTGTGCCTGTGCGTATACAAGAAAGAGACAGAGAAAGCGTAGAGCAGGATGTATATTATGGTAAATACCTGACTCAGCATAAGGGAAATACTCTCCCTCTAATGTCTAACCCCCTGACACCACTATGCACTCTTTAACTCCCTCCCTCTCACTGTCTCTCTCTCACCCTCGTAGACACACACAAGTGTGTGCAGGACATACAATGGGTGTGTCTCTATCCCCTTTATAATGTCAGGTTATGTATTTCTTCACACATTAACAAAATCAGTAATGAAACCCCAAAGTCTGAGATTTCAGTCAAAGAAATTCTACTTTTATTAATAATACTACTACAACGTCTAATACCATTGCAACAAATACTAAAAATGAGCATTTACAAAGTGCTACACTAACATTAGGACTAATTAACAGTCACATTTCGAGCTTTAGCCATACTAGAAATAACAGCTGTCTGCAGGAGACATTTTCAACCTTGTTCGTCACATTATATCCTATTCTCTACATATGAGACTATACTGTAACATATTTACCTCGTTTGGGTTTGATTAATTCATGCCCTAGTTTTCATTATGTTGTGTGTGCCATTACATAATTTCCTGTGCTGACAAACATGTTGCCACAATCACATGAAATATGCAAACATTATGAAAAGCGTGAGCTTAGTTTAGCTTATTCAGCAATCTGATTACCTTAACTACCAGATCTTACTTCCTGCACAAATTATTTGGTTAATTTAGCCTGGCATTATGTTGAAGGAGGATATATTGGATTGAATTGAGCTTTGATAATGCACAATAGAGAATGGATAATAATGCTTTCAGAAACAATTGGGATAATTAGATGAAATAGTGTATACTGTCAACAATGTGCAGATGTGCATAGTGTTACATCCTCTCTGCTGTTTTAGCAAAAGACTTCATAAAGCTTAGATCTCGCCATCGTCACAACTCAAACTATTAAACTAAAACTACCTGTTCTACCTACCACACTCCTCTCTGTTATTCAATATACGATGTCCAATCATTACAACTGAACATTACACACAGTCCTCAGGATCCAAACACTAACAAGGATGATGAATCACACCATGAATATAAGGATTACTGTTTATGAATGAGCAGAATCAGACTGACAAGGAGCTTCTTCTAGCACCGTTAGTTTACAGATACATGCTATTAATTCAGATTTGGTTATTATTTCTTTCTTTTAGGGTTGACCCCAAATAGTGAACAATTAGTCATGAGAAGAGTTGAAGGATAGTCACAGAAAAACAAAAACAACGTCAAACTCCTTTTGGGAGCTGCACCGTGACACTAGGACTTAAGTATCAGGGGATTGTTGCAACAGGGACCTTTTCTTTTGTAACACAGTACTAGCTGCTGCCACTAGCTGGTTAGCGGTCCTATTAGCTGACTGTAATTTGACTGCGAGCTCAAAGTACCAGAAGAGGTTTGTTTACACCACTAGAACAGAACCAGAGTCGGAGTAGGACGAGCAGGCAACAAAGCTGGGCTCAGCAGCCTCCCAGTGTTGACAGCCGGGACCGACACAGCCTCCGACACATTCAGAATCATTAACACTTTTCCCATTATCATTTAACAGGCAGCTGTTAAAATATTTATGTTTAAATAATTTAATTAATATCATAAACATCCAACGACAAGTTGACTAATGGTTTTGACTAACAACTACTAGTCCCCTAGGAAAATCTTTAGTCAGGGATAGCCCTCTCTTACTTTAACTTTTTAAGACACCTAAATAATTAAAGTTTAAAAAAACTGCCAGTGTTAAATATACGGTGTAGTGTGGCCAAAGCAGTGTTCCTTTCAGGAAATGTGAATAAGAAACTGTGAAAAAATTTAATACATGCGCATGTGTTATACTTAATTATTCACAGGTGCCTTTTTATGCAAGTGTTGTATTGTCAGCACACAATGACAAATCCAGTACCACATAATACATTTTTACCCAGCAAGATGGCCACTCTCTCCCTTCTCTGCATATAAAAAGCATACACACACACACACACACACACACACACACACACACACACACACACACACACACACACACACACACACACACACACACATATACTAAACCATAACACGCATAAGCAGTATACATGCATTCCTCCCAGCAGGCCTTGTTTCTGACCCCTCTCTCTGACAGAGCGCTGCGTTAGAGCACAAACTCTAAAAATACCAACACCAGGAAGAGAAGAGAAAAGAAGAAGACGTCTGAGCAGCACCTGTCTGAGTAAATGATAACTTGTGTAACGAAAAATGCAGAGAGACGGAGACGGGCTGGCTAAAACTAATTACATTGACCTAATGGATAAATGAGAGCAAGGCACAGGACCTGGACACACACAGAGGCAGCAATGTTGGCTGGGAAACACACACATATGCACACATATAAATCCATAAAGACACACATAATATTTGTACTTACTGCAATCCATGACAGGTTGAGAGAGCCACAAAGGAGTGAGGGATGTCTCTGACCTTCCCCTGGTAGTAGCAGTGCTCTCCTCCCTGTGAGCAAAACACAAACACTCACAGATTAAGATCATACACATGGCTGCCTCCTAAAACGTTTCACACACTCGAGTGAAATATTCCTCTTGCTGCTTGATTACCATATTCCATCAGTAAATGAGTTCAGAGCGATCAATCACACAGAATGCATTTGCTAACACATGCAAGTGTGCAAGTGTGTGATTTGGTGTAGATATGTGCATGTACGTGTACTGTTTCTGTGTTGGTACTTTGCACTTTGAGCGTAACCCAATCACGTACTACCATCTGTGTGTTAACTGCTCTGTAACTTTTCTTTCCTCCGTCCCAACTTCTACCCACAATAGGAAGTCACAGCATCACGTTACACTTTTTCCATCTCGGTCACTGCTTGCTAGTCAAAACACTCATACTCATAGTCTTCACCCTCTATCTCCATCTATCTATATGTGTGTGTGTGTGTGTGTGTGTGTGTGTGTGTGTGTGTGTGTGTGTGCGTTTCTTCCCCTCTCTGGAAGTGTAAACACACATTTATTTTCTATAGACGTGTATGATGTCTAAGTGTCTAAGTGCTCTGCAGGCCATCTCTTCCTGGTCCATTTCTCGCTGCCTAACAGCCATTAGGCAGGAAGCCGGCCTCCCTGAGGAAACGCAGCTTTTATAAGAGGATCAATTTCTGCTCTACAGTCTGATGCTGTGCACTGCTTTATCCACTCCAGCTCTCTCTGTGGACTTCCCAATCTACGCCTCCCTTATGGGTTTGTGTGAGGATGCATGTATGTATGTATGTATGTATGTATGCATTTGTTGTTGTTGTTAAGCTATATGGCCAAAAGTATGTGAAAACCTGAACTTGCATTATCATGAAGGCTTTCCATAAAACTGTGGGAACTGGCTGCAGGAATTTGCTCCCATTCAGCCACAAGAACATCAGTGAGGTCTGCCCCTTATTATGGGCCTTCCAGTGCATCCTGAAAGTGTTGGATGGGTTTGAGGTCATGGTTCTGTACGGGACAGCTAAATTCTTCCACATTAAAGTTGGAAAACCATTTCTACTAGTTATATAGACATGTTGAGACATTAAACTGTTGCCATAAAGACGGAAGCACACAGTGTCTAAATATTATATTTGCATTGAGATTTTCCTTACAATTTAACATTTTGGGAAATACAGTTATTAAATTTCCTTGCATGGAGTTTGATGACAAAATGGATAACTATCTAACAGCTACTACTAACTAACAACGAGCATGTGTGTGTGCTAAGCACAGAGCTGGAGTCAGAATGGGGAAATATACACTATACTGACAGAGATATAAAACATATGAATGGGACAGAAAAAGTTGGGTAGATAAACCTAAATGGAGCTACAGATAGAGAGAGAGAGAGGTTGGGTAAAGAGACATAGAGCGAAAGTGAAATGAAGAGACCGAGAGGGCTATTTATAAGCGGTGCTGTGCTCTACTATCCAAGCGTCTCTCCTCCCCCTGTCGCCCTGAACCTTCTGCTCCACTTCTCATCAAAGCAAGAAACACCCAAAACCCAGTGCAGTGGGTACATCCTCAGTGTGTGTGTGTGTGTATAGATGTGTGCGTGTGTGTGAGTGTGTTGCTAAATTGGTCTGATCTGTGATCTCCTTAGACCCATATAAGAGGCATTAATCATCTAATCTGGACACAACAATGCACAATGAAAAGGTCGAGGTCAGACAGTTGGTAAACAAGTAGGACACTCTGCCCTCTGAGTATCGGGGAAGTTTGAGTACATTAACTAGATAATGAATCGGAATAAGAAAATTACACAAACATGTATATGTATATATTACATATATATTATACTAATTCATGAGACAGAAAGTGTGGATGTGTGTATGAGGGAGTTTGTGCATGTACAGTATTCACACTTGATGTACCACAAGGATTCAGCCTATCCCCACCTCCCACTCATGTACAGATATGACAGAATACTCCATGAAACAAACTTTTTTCAGCTGTCAGACATTTTGTCACACTATTTCTTGAAGTACTGATGTATCCATACTACGTATTTAGAACTTATATGATGGGAGTTTCCATATTAAGGCCAATAGATTCACTCACTGTAAAATCAGATTCAAGTTCATTTAACTCAAAACACTGCTGAAACTGATTACATTAAAATCTTTAGGCAACACAAACTACATTTTTAGGTTAAAAAATATTCTTGATTAAGATGCTTTTACTAGTAATTTATGTGGCACTAACTTAGTTTTGTAAGTTACAGAAACATTCCTGATTAATAACTTTTAAGTTGAAAATTTGAAAATCAATATACAAAAAATAAAAAAATGTAGTTAGTTTTTCTTAAAAAATGAGTTAAATTAATTATTTGGTTGTACAGTGCTTTATAAACAAACACTTACTAAATAAGTACTCTTAAATTACTCATTCGGATATATAATTTATCCAGCATGCAAAGTTTCACAGCACATGGTGTTTAAATTGAGTCTAAATTCATTCTAACTTGTTTGTACTGTTTTCTACTTGCTTGGTTGTATTGTTTGATTTAAAATGTTAGGAGTGTTGTGGTAACTTCATTATTTATTTATATTTTAACTGCAGCTTCAGTACGTGTAATGTATAATGCTATGTTGTACTATGTATAATGTTTTAATGTTTTTTCATTACATTTTCATTTGTCAGTTTTTAGCAGTGTTGGGACTATGGGCGCTGTTATGATAACCCTGGCACATTAACAGTGACAGTTTTAAAACGTCAATGCTGATTAATGTGCATTGTACCCTGCATAAAAACAAATAATAAAAAATGTGTTTCATTAATGTGATGAACTACCTTGATTTGTCAGGTCTTTCTTTGATAAATTGGCCAGAAACAGACGTTCCTTTCTGATGTTTCAACCCATTTTCCATAATATAAATATATATATATATATATCATGTATATACAGTATACTGATGTGGAAATATAAAATTATATATACAGTGATGGAGACTTTATCCATACCTCCAATCCATAAAACAGTAAGTAAGTTCGATCCCTTTACTCTTATGGGACACAGAGAGACTGAGCTTTCCATCTACAAATCAATGCAGTTGATGAAGGAAAATGTTCAGAATCATTGTTCAGCACAAAACAACAGTGAGCATTTAAGTAAAAATTATGTTACATATGTCTAAATCTAAAAATTCAATGAATTGCTAAAAAAATTGGGTTTGTCTCTTTTATCCTTTCAGCATTTTCTTTTTACAATAATTACTCACATTCTTCATTAAAGACAGCTGTAGCATAATGTTAGCTGTAGTTGAACAGAGGAATGTGTTTTTGTGCTGAACAAGGATTTGGGATTTGTCCGGCATTCATTGAAATAAACTAACTGTGGACAGACAGAACTGTTAACACATTTAATCGTATGTGTTACTTCTACTACCTACATGAACAGAGGGGATTCTGGGGTACAGCAGCAGCTGTGTTATGATGGCTGACATTTCGACCTCTGTGAGCAGAGTAACAAACAGGAGCTTGTCTCATATTAACCTTCCTGAACAGCAGCCATTAATAAAGAGGGAAAGTGCCTCTTACTCTTTCCACTATTTAAAATGGAAAGTACGGGAATAGACTGCAGACAGAATACATTCTGGATATTCATCTACAAGGTGAATTAATTCACACAGAGAGATCTCTTTATAATAAGTTCCATAATTACAAGTGACTATATCATAGAATATGTGGTGTAATAATTTGGATAATTCTCTGTAAAGTATCTAATATCTCACTAATCTGCTGCTTAGCTGAGTAAATCCTGACCATTATAATCCCCCCACTTACAGTATATGATGTGACACAACGCCTTAGTGGGTGTCCTGTAACTGAAGTCCAGATTTCAGAGGATTATCACAGCAATCTTAATTTCATGTTCGTTGAAGGTTTGGACCACAGCTACAGATCTACTTTGGTCCTCTGAAATCTAAGCTGAACAAAGACCGGATGGCTGGACGGGTTGTGATTTCTCTGCATGTGCAAAGTAACACATTGATTAACCAATAAAGAGCTCAGGGAGGGAGAAGAACCTGTAACGTCTACAGGAAATTGCAGCTGAACAACACACAGCTGAGAAAGAATCTTCAGTGGAGCCGATTCAGCTGTTTTTTTGGAATCACAGTCAGGTAAACGAGACATCTCTATCTCTAACCTTCATAAACTGAACCCTGCTAAATTATATGATGGGTACATGTGATCTATATCTGCATATGTCATCCTGATAGTGACTGACCATCACTTGGTATTGATAAGAGTTCTTGTTTTCTCAATTTTGTCTGCATTTTTTGTCCACTTGGGGGCAGTGCAACAAGCTGTAAACACAACATTGACATATTATCTCCTTATAAAGTTTTTGTGCCAAATGTGTTAGCACACAGTCATCTGTTTACACATATTACACATATATTCACTCTCCTTTTAGCTCAGTTTTTGGTCTGGCTCTAAATGTTGGACTATGTTTACCAGCTAGTCCCTTACTGCTGTTTGGTGCTGATTAAGTCGTGTACAGTCTGTTTCTTAGAACTTTTCACTGAAGACATCTGCCTGCTGATATATTATCACCTTATAAAGTGCCAGCACACTTTGAACAACATTACAATTGATTTGAAATTATGTTTCTGGGCACCTGTCACCTAAAGTTACTTTCCACCGTGTGGTTGACATGGTTGACCAGCACTACCTGCTTTTTTTTGTTTTTTCATTATGGATAGTACTTGGTCGAGTTTCCAAGCAAGCTGAGGTGCTGATACTAAAAGGCACTTTGATAACACTGCAGAGCACTAATTCCTGCACAAAACCCCGCATTTTTAACTAGCCATCAATAGCAACCAAATTTTTTTCATTCACTCAAAAAAGGCAGCACACCGAACCACACCATGGTCAACTAACAAAGATGAAACAAATCAAGAACACCATCCCTTCATATCCTCCGTTATAAGAGTAGCAGCTAATTTTTGTGTGCGTAGTTAGTGTGGATGAGCGAAAGAGAGCGATCTACTATCAAAAGTACTATCTACAGTAGAACATGAAGTAGAGACCAAAAACAAGTTGAGCCCTACCATTTAGAGGAAATACAGCTTAAGTGAAATATTCACTATTCTTTTAGCTCTCTTTTGGTCTCCACCTACAAAAAAAAGGTTCTTAAGCTGCTACATGCTCCTTTATGTTAACCAGCTAGTTGCCAACTTTATAGCATGCCTGAACAATGCTAATGAGAACTGAGAGAGTGAATCAAAACAGTAAAGTCGAGAAACAGTGATAATTCTCTGTGGGTTTGTCACTACGAGTGACACCTTTCACATTACACTCATCCGTCATTTGATGCATTGCTGATATGAAATATTGATTACAGCAGATATAAGAATGTGTTTAAATTGTACAGATTGTATTTGAACCTGCCAGAGATCTGATTACAGTCCAGACCACCTCCAGATGTGTTTTGGCTGATCCAATTGTAATTTGAATGCAATGTGTTCTGCAATCATTTACACCTTGCGTTATCATCCGTTTATTCTTATCCGCATACTCAGACACAGATGGCATGGTAATACTGTGGTGGGAAATATTAGTGCATTAGAGTATAGTTGAAACATTAAGAACAGTTTCCTGTTCTGAAAACACTGACTTTGTCCTCTAAAGAGAAACCCAAAAGAACATCCGAAAACACCTTGACCCGAAAACTCCCATCCGCTTCTCTTGAAATTAGATAACATTTTGAATTAGAAGAAAAATTGATAAATAGCCAACCAATGTAAGGAGAATTGATGACTAGCCAACCACTGATGCAGGGGTAAATGGGGTCCTAATGTCAAGACCAGGGCACCACAAAGACCCTGTGGCCTGCATTGTACTGCAAATAGTCTAATGGTGAAAGCGTTTGTGAGCATGAGGAGAGATGATTTGCAGAATCTTACATTGGTGACGACAGTCTTCCCTTTTTCTGACAAATGCCTCTCCACGTACCCTGAAGACAGCAGATCACTGGGAACAGAGAGGAAAGAAAAAAGAGAATTTAAGTTAGGAAATTTGTGATTTTCATTCAAGTGTCACTCAGTTATACAAGTGTGCTTGTATTTTATGGGAGGATTGTATTCTGTCTTGGCAGCACAGAGCTTCAGAGCATCAGCCTGGCTAATTATGACCAGCGTACAGGGACAAGGCTATTTCCAGCACACAAACTCACACAAACACAATTATACAAATCCAGCCTTCGAGCAAATGTCTGGTGTGTGTGTGTGTGTGTGTGTGTGTGTGTGTGTGTGTGTGTGTGTGTATGTGTGTCTATCTGAGGAATGAAGGACAAGTGAAGGTCAGTAAAGAGTAAAAGAAGCGACACAGGCAGAATGGGAAGGAGGCAGGAAATAAATTGAGAGAGCAAGGAAAAGAAAGACTGGCATAAATAAGAAGAAATCAGTCTGGGTGTGCTTTCTCAGCAGAGCTAGACCCAAGAATCCCAATGGAGATACACACTGCAGGTCCAATCTGAGACAGAGATGTATGAGCTATAGCGCACACAAAGCCCAACGCACACACACACACACACACACACACACACACACACACACACACACACACACACACACACACACACACAGGAATGCGGCATATGAATGGGGATTTATCCCTTCTTCATCCTATTTAAAAATATAATACAGTTAAAAGTATTAGCCTCTTCTCACAAATAGGTGACCTGAACATGCACACACACACACACACACACACACACACACACACACACACACATAAAGACAAGGCAGTGCAGGAATGGGCTTTTATTTGTTATATATACACTATGCAGTGAGCAGTGCCAACGCCAACACTAAGCTGAGGTGTGTATACAGAAAAACACACACAAACACACACAATGCAACTGGTAAGAACAAATAAAGCCAACCTTGCACTAGAAGAGAGCAGCATGAACATCAAGCAGTACAATCAGAATAACAAACTCATTTTTATCAGATTAAACAGAGTTCACATTTGCTGAATCAGGAGCCTTGAAATACTTTTCCAAAACAACTAAATTACTGGCAGGACTGCTGTTTATCAGTCAGAGTGCAGGAATGGACACAAAAATGTGCAACTGAAACAGTAACGTGATGGTATCTGTGCAGGCCACTTGCCACCCTGAACCAGAGCGCCATCAATCAACTCCAACTTCCTGTCAAGATCCAGACATCAACAAGAGACAAGTAGGCGGGATGAATTTTCATCTTGTTCACTCACCAAACAAACAAGCCTCTTTTTCAGTGTCAGATAAAATGTTTGAGCGTACAGTGACGGAGGGAAAATGTGAGTGAAAGTGAGAGGAGAGCTGCATTATTTTTACCAAACAATGCAAATGTATAAATTGAACACCAAATATATCATGCCACTCCATTAATTAAAATATATACAAATAAAGATAAAAACTGCATTCATGAGGAAAAAATGCATAAAACTAAGAATAAATAATTCAAAAGAGAAGAAAAAAGCTGTGTTTAGTGTTTTAACATTATTTTTAATAACTCTCCTCTTTACAATAAAAACTATCCAGAGTGACATCTAGAATTTTAGTTGTGCTGAAGAAAAGAAAAAAGTTATGACAAATGTTGGAAAACATTCAACAAAGAACCTTAGTTAACTTTCAGTACATACGTAAGAGTACATAGCCTTAGTGCTGAAATGATTAATCAATTAGTTTATCAACAGAAATGAATATGTAAATATTTTGATTATTTTGATTGAGTAATTTTTCAAGCTGACTGCCAAACATTTTATGACTTCAGGTTCTCAATCATGACAATGTACTGCTTACATCACTGTACTAAGAAAATATTTTTGTCGTCTCCGAAAGATGAGAAGATCAATTCCACTCTCATCTGTGTGCTGTTAATATGAAGCCTGCATCTGCAGGCGGCTAGCTTAGCTTATCATAAAGACTGGCAACGGGGAAACTGTCCAAAAGCAAGTAAATTGTAATGCAAACACATTGTGGCTTTACACTTTGTTATCTCAACCTCAAGGTGATGACTTTGAAAAAGAACATGTAAACAAACAGGATAACATGGACTGAGCCAGGGTAGCTGTCTCCACGGTTACAGATAAGCTAAGCTAACCAGCTGCCCGCAGTAGCTCTACATATGAGAGTGGCATCAATCTTCTCTTTGAACTCTGAGCAAGAAGGAAAACAAGGGTATTTCCCAAAATGTTGACTTTGTTGACACATTTGTTGATTTTTGTTAAATTCAGATTGCTGTGTAATGTGTGTCTAAGTCAATCTCATCATGGACCAGCTCTAGGTATTAATAGATTCATTTTTCATATCCTCCACTTCAAAAACGGTGATATCTTTGACAAGAGGACAACGGACTGTCTCTGAAGGACACCAGAGAGAAGAAAAGAAATGAAAAGAAAATCTGTTACTGAGTCATAACGAGGCAGATGGCATCAAATTGTTTTGCTTTGGAAGTCAGACACATCATGTGTTTTTCAAATATTAACTGAGATTTCTTTCATGAATTATAAGTTTTCCAATGTATACCACATATTATTTGAATGAAAACCCTGACATCAGTGTACACACACACACACACACACACACACACACACACACACACACACACACACAGGTGAAGGAGGCTGCTTTCTAAGATGACTAATGGGCATTTTGCTACAGCAATAAAAAAAAACATGCAGGGAAAGAGGAGAGAGAGTGAGGTAAAATGGAAAGAGGGAGAGAATGGCTGTCAGGAGGGAGTAATGAGACAAGGGGAAAAGAAAGAGGCAGTAAAACTTAAAGAGAGGCAGACACAAGGTGTGAATACAGAGCTCAGGACCCTAACAGATTTCCCATCATGCACTGCAACAAAGCTCTCTCCTGAAGAACATCTACAGCACGTGTAAAAGGCAACCCCCATTGTACACTCTTCACACCCTCCAACCTCAGGTCACACATCACCTCCAACTTACAACAACATCCCGCAAATTAAACACTCCACGACTCTTGAGACCCCGAGTAACATTTCATCAACATTTTGCATCAAAAGGACCGCCGTCAAAATATTCATACGCTCCTGTGATGAAGACGTTCTGTGTGTGTGTGTGTGTGTGTGTGTGTGTGTGTGTGTGTGTGTGTGTGTGTGTGTGTGTGTGTGTGTGTGTGTGTGAGTCCCTGGGTCACAGTCGCGCGCTGTTAGCCTTTGTTCTGCTGGGATGTGTGTTTAAGATTCAGAGCTTGTGATCTTTATCCAGCCCCACGCTGAGCATAGACAGGGGGGAACAAGCGAGGAGCATACTGAGGCAGCAAGGCAGACACACGGGCCTCTAATGGAGGACGCTGATAACAGATTTCAGCTTTAATTGTTGGGGGATTTAAATAATTTATTTGACAAAGACGCAAACGCAGCCTCGAACCCCATCCCCCAACACTGACACACACAGAAATGTAGAGAGATCTCTACATCAATACATACAGCCCCGCCTCTTCCTGTTAACGTGCATACACACTTATGTATAAATGTGAGCGACGTCTTTGTAGCTTCACTCTGATATGGAACAACAAACACAGAAATACAAACCAGACTTACTCTCATCTCATGCGCTGTTTGCATGTGATTTATCTCCCTGCTGCCAACGTTCAATATAAATGATGATCAGAGGGGGGGCGGTTTGTAAAGCCGAGGACTCCATTAACAAGAATAAACAGAAAAAAAGACATGAGGGAAAACATTAATAAAAGCAACTTTCTTCATGAATGTAATAATATATGGAGATTGAAGTATTTATGATATCTCATGTCAGACATATTTGTGTGGCATCTGGCACCTTAAGGTGTCAGTGAAGACCAGATGTGTGGCTAAAGCAGGCCAAGGGAACAGCACCCGCATCTCTTGCTCATTTTGTGTCCTATTCAGTGTTTGTTAATCTCATTCTCTCAGTTCGGCGCTTTTTTAAATAGTCTGCTTATCCTCCACTACACTGGAAGAGAGTTTTCTTGGCTCCATCGCCCCGGCAACATCTGTTTGACAGCTAGGGTCCAGCTGTCAATCAGGCCTGGAGGAGATTTCGGAGGTGGATCCACAGGCGCTCTACTTTCATCTTACCACATTTCATACAGCCATTTCCATATAATCACATCCCTCTGTCACTTTCTCTACACTTTAATGTCAGCCACACACACACACACACACACACACACACACACACACACACACACACACACACACACACACACAGAAAGCGCTCGAGCTGGGAAAATGTTGAACTGAAAAGACTTTATTAAGTGAGTCTTGAGGAGGTAAAAACTGAAGCAGTGAGAAGTGGCACTGAATCCATCTGGCCGTCAGTCACATCAAACACCGTCCTGTAAAGCATTTTGTTGTGAGTTGCTCTGGGTGAACACATCTGCTGTGGCAACCCAGTTTGATCTCCTGAGGTGAATCATGCATACACACACACACACACACACACACACACACACACAAACACACAAAAACACAAAAACACACACACACACACACACACACACACACACACACACACACACACACACACACACACACACACACACACACATTAACCAAGTTTCCGTGTGGTCTAAAATTCCTCTCACGATCCGTGTCGCCTGGCACCGCTATGGCACTGGGATGAAAAACAGCACAAAAAGGACCGATTGGCAGGACTAATGTTTATGTGTGTGAGTGTGAGCGGATTGGCACAAGTGTTGGGGGTAGCAGGCTTTTCATTGCTTTCACACATGCCAATGTAGCTGCTTTCAAAGACTCCTCTTAATACACCCAACATCCCAAAACACACAAACAGAAGATAATAAGACAAAATGAAATATGTAATCATCCATGCGTCCATACACATCTGCACGCAAGCACAGTAGTCATCAAATGAACTTCTGCTCCATTATGGATTTTTGCTATTTAACCCTATAATACAAACCGCCACACAAAGGACTGAACATGTGCTGTGTCAGGCGTCCATAATGAGGA